TAGTTTAGGGCATCATCAGGTTATAACACAGAAGTCATTGAGTCTGACCCCTTTCATTTTACAAATGAAAAAACTGAGACCCAAAGAATAAAATCAGCCCAGGTAGGGTCTGACTGAGGCAGAGTAGAAGTCAGAAACCTTTTAGGCACCAGCGTGGTACAGGGGAAACAAGCATTGGCTTTGGAGTCCCGGGTTCAAATTCCACCTCTTAGATTTATTACACTTATCACTTGACTTCCCTGGGCCTCAGTTTCCTTACTAGCAAAACGGAGGAGCTGGGCTAGATGACCTGTGGACGGTCCCTTCCAACTCCAGATCCTGAAATTTAATCATCATTTACCTTCAGAGGGACATATAACAGCTGATGTGGTCCAGATGAGCAATGATGATTAAGCACCTCTGGTGTCAATGAATCAAACAATCAATAAGCATTTATTAAGTACCTATATGTACCGGAAACTGTATTGGGAATACAAAAACCAAAAAATGAAACTGTCCCTGCCCTCAGCAAGCTTACATTCGGTAGGGAGGTGGGAGGCAGACAACACAGCACGAAATAAGACCCCGGGTCAGACAAGCCTTGTGAGCATAGGCTCTACGCTGGGCTCTAGGCACAATGATACGCCTCCTTTAGGGAGCACATACCACCTCTCCATCTCTGCTTTGCTCCCATTCTCTAAACAGCATTGACAGCAGCACACAGAGCAGACTTTCTTAAACAGATGGTAGCAGGGCCCCAAGTCTCAGAAATCAGACCCAAGCCTTCAGGTGCCTGGAACAATGTCTGTCTCCAAAGGATGGTCTAGGCTAGGGGAAATAATGCTGGGCCTGGAGTCAGGTGGGTGTGGGTTTGAATCTCACCCACATGACCCTGAGCAGGTCATTTCATCTCTCTGAACCTCAGTTTCTCCATCTGCAAAACGGGGTAGTCACAGCCCAATAACTACATTATCTGTACCTAGTCAGCACAGTAGAGTGGACAAAGTAAGACCAGGATTCAAATCCTGTATCTGCCATTTAATAGAGCTGATTATAAATAATCACAATAACTAACATTTATATAGCAGCTATTACATGCCAGACATTGTACTAAGTACTTTACAAATATTATCTTATTTGACCCTCACAACAACCCTGGGAGATAAGGACAATTATTATCCCCATTTTACAGTTGAGGAAACTGAGGCAAACAGAGGTTAAGTGACTTGTCCAGGGACACACAGCTGGTTAAGTGTCTGAGTGGATTTGAACTCAGGTCTTCCTGACCCAGGCCAGGTGCTCTATCCATTTCCCCATCTAGCTGTAGTCACTTATGTGACTTTGGACAAGTCATGTCATCTCTGTAAGTGTCAGTTTCCCCATCTGTAAAATCGAGGGGTCGGGCTAGATGGTTTTTAGGGTTCTTTTTGGCTCTAGATTTTGTTATGATCCCATGATCCCAGGGTTGTCCAGGAGATCAAATGACACGATAATTATAAAGCACTTTGCAAAACCTAAAGCATTTTATAAATGTTAGCTATTATTGTTGTTAGTATACACCTGACCAGATGGCCAAGACAGTTGCTGGAGGAAGCTTACATGTTGCCTGAAGGTCTCATTAGGCAACGTTTTTACATAACCTGTTTTATAGGCTCACAGCATTTTAGACTGAGAGCTAGAAGGAACCTCAGAAGGTCATCTGGTCCAACCCACTCTTTTTTCAGATAAGGAAACCGAGGCACAAGGAAGGTAAGGGAACCGGCTAGAGTCAGAGACAGGATCCGCACCCAGGTCTTGGGCCTCCAGAATCAGGCCATCACCTTCCTTCCCATCACATCTTTATGGGTGACTTCCCTCCCACCAACCCCCATGACTCCAAACACATATTAGAAAAGATTGACAAACTTCCTGACCTCCCGGAATGCTGCCATTACTGGCACAGATAAGATCAGAAGAGTCAGCAGTCCATCTTTCTCTTCTATTCAAAAGACTGATTGCTTTTTAACAGAGTGCTTTGTTCCTTCAACCTTTCCTGGGTAAGCAAAAATCACGCAGCATTATCAAAACCAGGCATCATATTTAGTCCTGTTCAGGGGTAAAACGAAATAGAAAACAACATGGAATGGCCAGGTTGGAAGGGACCCCAGGGGCCACCTCCTATAGGCTGGGCCTACAGAAAACAATCATCATAAGAACCCTCAAACAGATCGGTCATCTCAGTGACGGTGGGACCTTGCGTTCGACAGCGCAAATCCCAATCCACCCAGACCGGCCGATCTGGCTGGATGCCGGCCCACATGTCCCCCCAAGCTCACCAGGAGGAGCCCCGCACAGTAGTAAAAGGCTCAATCCTTTACTCGTTTGTAAGCCTGTGAGGCCCAGGTTGTCATGTTCCCTATTTTACAGATAAAGAAACTGAGTCTCAGAGAGGTGAAATGCTTTGCCACTTGGGTCACAGGGTCAGCAAGCGTCCTGAGGGCAGAGTCTTCCTGACTTCTTGAAACAGGCTGCCTCGATCTCCTGGACAAGAGGACATCCGATCTCTCCTAGAAGACCACAGAAGAGGAGCAACCCCACCTCACCTCCTGGGGCAGCCCACCACTCCATGTTCTTCCCCCTGAGGTCAAGCAGGATGAGGCCAATCTCACCAGTGAAATAATAACAACAACAACAACAATTATGACTGTAATAGTAATAGCAATGTTAATGATGGTCATCTTCATCATCATAGAGAATAAGCATTTATATAGTACCTACTACATACCAGGCACAATACTAATAAAGATAACAGAAGGGAAGGGAATAAGCATTTATATAGTGCCTAATACATACCAGGCACAATACTAATAAGGATAATAGAAGGGAAGGGAATAAGCATTTATATAGTGCCTAATACATACCAGGCACAATACTAATAAGGATAATAGAAGGGAAGGGAATAAGCATTTATATAGTGCCTACTATGTACCAGGCACAATACTAATAAGGATAATAGAAGGGAAGAGAATAAGCATTTATATAGCACTTACTATGTACCAGGCATATACTAATAATATAAAGGAAGGAAATAAACATTTATATAGTGCCTACTATATGCCAAGCATCATCACCACCATCATCATCGAAGGGAAATGAATGAGCATTTATATATGTGCCAGACACTGTGCTAAACACTTTTACAAATAATATCTGATTTGATCCTCACAATAACCCTGTGAGGGAGATGCTATTATTATCCCCATTTCACAGTTGAGGAAATTGAGGTAGGCAGACAGCTGGTAACTGGCTTAGGCAGGATTTGAACTCAGGTCTTTCTGACTCGAGGCCCAGTGCTTTATCCATTGTGTCATCCAGCTGCCTCAATAATAATCAATATTGTTATTTATAAGAATAAATAATACCATTATGAATAAATAAGAATGACAACAACTAGCATTTCTACAGCATTTTAAGTTTTGCAAAGCACTTTCCATAGGTTATCTCACTCGATAACCTCACAACTACCCCGGAAGCTAAGTACTACTGGTAACCCATTTCACAGATGAAGAAACTGAGCTTATACTTTTAAAAGTGAAACTTGACAAGACCATTAATATTGATGGTTCATTCTGAAATCAACTGTTTTAGAACAGAAATTCCAATTTTCTTTGACAGTTAAATTTTCAAGTGATTTATTTAAATTAGGGGTAGAGTGAAGGGAAGAACCCACCCTGTCTAAAAGAAGCAAGTTCAGCTCTCCTCCTAGAGTCAGATTCAAACCTAGCAGGGGCCATTCTGTCTAACTAAATGAGGAAACACAGGCGACAGGGGCAGAACCGGGCCCCAAGGTCCCGCCACTCTACATCCAGGGCATTTCCTCAGCACCAAGATGCTGGGTGTCTCTGCATGCCAGGTACTTGGGGTTGAGAAAAAATGGGTCAGTTGGCTGGCTCTCTCTCTTCTCCACCAGCCCCTTCCTCAGTTTCAATTCCTTAATTAGTGGGGCTGTCACCAAATCTAGAGAAGGTTGATGGAGACCCTCGGAAGAAGCCCAGGCTTCCAATATAAGCTCCACCAACTGCCATTCTTTAGCCTGGGACACTCTGCACCGAACTAAAGCCAGCTGGCCCTCTGGGACCCTTTTCAGCTTAGCCTACTCCATCCCCCAACCAGCCATGACCATAAATGTTCTAGCTGGAAATAGGAGGGGGAAGAAAGAAAAGAAAAGGATGCTTCTAATTAAAACTCTTCCCCAAGAAGGGCTGTGCTGGTTGGCCAGTCCTTGTGCTCCCCAAAGAATGTCCTAAAATATACCCAAGAGAGGCAAGCAGCCCTGAACCACTTCAGCAAGGTGAATTTAGGGAAGTCCCATCAGAGGCGAGCAGCAGCGGGATGAGGAGTGGGGGGGGGAGACTCTGACTTGTCACTGAAGCCAAGAATCCTTCCAGACTCCGCCACCAAGAAACCACAGGGTCCCCAAGAAGGGCACGCAGGGCGGATGCGGTCCCGGGCTTGGGAAGGGCTTGACAGGGGGCAGAGGCAGGTCTTGTCAGTCACCCCCACTGAGCCAAGGCGGGTACCTGAACCTGAGGGGAGACCAGGCCGGGGTGGGGGTGGGTGACCCGTCTGTCCCCCGGGGCTGTCATTTCAACACTGCAAAGAGGCTGATCTCAACTCCGATCTTTCAAAAGAGTCATTGGGGTCCGAGAAGCTCACGTGAGTCTGCTCCCCTCTAGGCCACAGCCCGGGTGGGGGTGGGGGGCTGGGAAGGGGGGACGGAGGCGGAGTCAGCCCCTCCCGCCCCCCGCCCCAGCTGGCTGAAGGGGACAGGGTGATGTCATTGGGCAGGAGAAGCGTTTGGGGCTGGAGGTGGGGCGAGGCTCTCCCAGGAACTTCTTGGGGGATGCAGGGGGGGCCTGGCAGGACCCGGGGCTGGCCAGGCTCGAAGAAGAGGGCAGCGGGTTGGGGTTGAGAGGTCGAACTCTGGCTTTAGAGGGGTCGGACCGCGGGGCCCCGAAGGCTGGGTGGGGAGGCGCGCTTACCTTCTTCACCGACAGAGAGATGTTCTCCAGGATGCGGTCCTTCACCTCGCCGGGCTCCATGGTCCCGGGGACGCTGCCGGTGCCCGGGCCGGGGCCCCCTCCGCCGCGCCGTCTCCTCCCGCGCCGGGCCGCCCCCGCCGCCGCCAACCGCTCCGGGGGCTGCTCCGGCTCTGGCTCCGGCTCCCGCTGCCTCCAGCCGCCGCCTGGGGGCTCCGTGGTGGCGGCTCCGCGCGG